GTTTGTGGATTTCAAACCGGATAACTTTATGGATCAAGAAAAGATTGCCAAGTCTCTTTCTGCTGCAACCAAGTTGGATTCTTCTGCTAATTTTCCTGTTAGGGGTAATATTCATTCAGAAGGGTATGTTTGGTTGAAGTATTTTCCTACTGAATTTCCTTTTTGTATATTTGATTTCATGATTAATTTGGAAGTCATTAACTAATTGGTACCTGTTATGTGAATTCTCTATATCCATTTAAGGTACTTTACATATTCAGAGTCTCATTAAACAATTTGACTGTTTCTAGCTGGTTGTCTATACTCAATATGTGAACAAGCTAAAGAGCTGAATACCCTTTACTGGCGGAATTATAGGAAAGGGCATTGCGAAAAAGGAAAAACTGCTGTTCATGGCATCTATATAATGATCAAGTAAAATTATTGTAGTCGACTAGGACTTGCAGAACATGATCATAGGAATCTCATTAGTTGACAAAGTGATCATATGAGTTATTCTTTCAAATTCATAGATTATATATTGCTTGAGTCACAGCTCATGAGAGAGGTTCTCACATTTTCCTTATCAGCCTATAGTGACATTTTCTTCTCAGTCTAAAGTCTAAACCTTTTTTAACTTGCTGAAGTGGTGCCTGCCAAGGAGAACAGATTGATAACTTGACTCTTCAAAGTGCCTATACAATTTTCATCTAAAATTTTAAGGATGCCAGATCTCTCTAATTGAATAACCAATTTATTAATAATTCTCCATACTCTTCATCTTTGAAATTTGCAGTGCACTCTAAGTGATTTTGTTGCTATAAGCTGTAATTGGGTCATGAATTGTTCGACTGGAGTACAAAGTTGATTTTAACATCATTTCCTGTATAGGTTGTACTACACATATATGCTTGTTGGGAATCCTCCTAAGCCTTATTTTCTTGATATTGATACGGGAAGTGATTTGATGTGGATCCAATGTGATGCTCCATGCACTAGTTGTGCCAAGGTGATGCCTAACTCTTGCTTGTGTTATTACTAGTTGCTTCTTCTAGTTCCTACTATCATCACTAGCATAACCAGAAGGTGCTAGCTATGATACTATTATTTGATAGGGAGATGTCGAAAATACGATTGACGAAGATACCTTTAGTTAATAATGACATGTGGTTCCTTATACCATGGCATTAGTCAGACACTTGCTGATTGTTATTGCTCTAAAGACCACATGTTCTTTTCCCGAATAACAAGTTGAGATTTGGTCAAAGTTTTAAGATATTCTAATTCAAGTGAGAAATGGTCTAATGTTTTCGTATTTTTATGCTTCCTGTTGATGTCGTCGTTATTGGTTCAGAAACAAATCTCATCATGAAGGATGATGATGTCATAGAAGGTGTTGTTCTGTTATTGGTATTGAACTTGGAGTCCCCATCTTATGCTGGCCCCTCCTTTTCTGGGGTCTAGTCCTCCCATTGCGGTGAAGTTCTCTGTCACAAATCATCTGTCTATGTCTTACTTGTGGGGTGGCATGCCTTATATACCTTATTATTGCACCTAGGTAGTGGTGGATGAGGTACTGGGCCTCTTCAATCACACTTTCTCCACCACTTGAGTTGCCCAAGCATAGTTAGAAAGTCTGCTCTTTATTTTCAAACTTGTGATCCTATATTAGTTTCTAACGTTACAAGCTTTCTCAGGGAGCCCACCCCTTGTACAAGCCCAGAAATGTCAATATGATACCTCCCAAAAACCCATATTGTGTTGAGGTACAAGAGAATCTGAGATCCAAGTATTGTGATAACTGCCATCAATGTGATTATGAGATAGAATACGCTGACCGCAGCTCTTCTGTTGGGGTTCTTGCAAAGGATGAACTTCAATTGGTGCTTGCAAATGGGACTGGAACCAAGCCAAATGTTGTTTTCGGGTAAACATTAATCCAGACCCTGTACTTTGTGGCCATACTACTTTATAAAGTTGTAAGTTTTAGTTTGTGTTTGTCAGCTGTGCATATGATCAGCAAGGCACACTTCTCAACACTTTAGCAAGCACTGATGGGATCCTAGGACTCAGCAGAGCTCCAATCAGTTTGCCTTCTCAGCTAGCGAGTCATGGGTTAATCAACAATGTTATTGGACATTGTCTTCGCACTGATACAAATGGGGGCTACTTGTTCCTAGGCAATGACTTTGTCCCACAGTGGCGGATGTCATGGGTCCCTATGCTGAATAACCCTTTTCCGTGAGTAAAGTATTTTGGTGGCTGTCCTATTTTCCTTTTTAGTACTATTATATTTACTCCTCCTTTACAACTAAGGCCTGGTTCTGTTTTTCGGTATTTGAGTTGCCTTATCTGTTCCTTTTCTTGATTTCTTTAGGTTATAATAAGATAGCCAAAATATATGGCTGGTTCTTCTCACATATACTTTAAAGGTTGCAAACTGCTTTCTGTGTGTTGGTTTTCATCATCCTCTGGCGCCTACTTAAGAAGAGATGCTGACAAATGTCCAAACTAAAAAAGCTAAACAAAAGAATGACAGAAATATTTCCATATCATTCATGTATCATTTTTTACTTGTCTGAGTTATCTTCTTTTCAGTTTCTGTAGGTTCTGATTGCTTTCGCCCCTGTATGTGTCCTGACTATTGGTATATCCTCAGGTCCTTATTAACCCTCATCCTTTCATGTTCAGTAATCTTTATCAAGCACAATTGATGAAAATGAACTATGGAGGCAAAGACCTTCAATTAGGCAGCAGAGGCTATGGACAAGATTCTGTAGTGTTTGACAGTGGCAGTACTTATACATATTTTACAGATCAAGCATACAAAGCTTTGATTTCCATGGTAAGTCAGGCTGAGAAATCCATGCCTTCAGAGGACCACGAATTTCTTTGATGATTATTCACCAACTATTTGCACCTTTTTTCACGATGATTGCAGCTTGAAGAGATTTCCAGTGAAGATCTTATCAAGGATGCATCAGATACGACATTACCCATTTGCTGGCGAGCTAAATTTCCAGTAAGGTAGAACAATAATACCTGTTTAATTAATGATTGGTTGCAGGAGGTGACAGTTAAAGTCAGAGGTTTTATACTACTTCCCTCTGGTGTGTCTATGCTAGCTGTTAGTGTGTTCGTGAAAATTTTCTTCTAGGGCTAGCACATTGATACAGGAAATAATATCAATTGAGAGATCGTCAATCAGCACGAAACTTTTTTCTTCACTTTGTCATGTAACTTTTGACGCCAGCTCTAAATGGAAATGATTTCTGCTCGAAGCCAGAGTTACATTTACAAGCCAGCCTTAGTATGCATAATCTGCTTTGTTCTCTAAAATATTGATCGAAAAAGAATTCCCTTTTATGCGTTCCTGTTTCACTTTTCTGCTGACTCATTGCTTGGATAATTATAATATTTTGTTATTTGCATGCAGATCTATTGAAGAGGTTAGACAATTCTTCAAACCTCTAAACCTTCAATTCGGAAGCAAGTGGCGTGTCGTGTCCACTAAGCTTTGGATTCCTGCAGAAGGGTATTTGACTATAAGTGTGAGTAGTCCCTTGCTTTTTCTTGGTCATTGGTACTTTGCCATCTCCTCCCCCTCCTCTTTTGCTTCCTCTTCTAACCAACAATGGAGAACTATTATACTGCAGGAAAAGAGTAATGTGTGCTTAGGTATACTTGATGGAAGCAACGTTCACGATGGCTCTGCTATAATACTTGGAGGTATTCTTTCCTAAATTGACAGAATGTCATTATAGACTTATTTTAGCTGAATAGATGTTCAGGAGCAACTCGTTAGTCAGTAGAACTTGGAGCTTTTCTAGATTTGAAACGTATATATAACCCTTTCTGAATATGATCAGCAGTGTTTTAATGGATTATTATGGATTTGAGCCATTAAAAGGTTATGATAGCTTTTTTTCTATTAACGTGTTAGCCTCTTGATAATTGCACAAACAATGAATCAGATGACAAAAGTCCATAAGCTTTGACATAGGAAATTCATGTGCTTTATAGTTTGAGTTTTAACTATAGCTATCATTTGATTCGTCTAAAGCAAACCATTCCCTTACTACTGTCATTTCTTGCAGATATTTCACTACGTGGCCAGTTGTTCGTGTATGACAACGTTAACCAGAAGATTGGGTGGATAAGATCAAATTGTGAACGGCCAGAGAACGTTCCCAGTCTTCCATTTTTTTGATAGATAAACACTAATATATAATTTCTGTTTTATATGTTTGGGAAGAGGCTGTATATATGTATTCTGCTTTCTAATGTAGAGCTATGCTCATAGTGTGCATATCCAATTTAAAGCTTCATTTTATTCTTCTATTTGATGCAATGGTAATGAAATCGTGAGTATTTGTAGTACAAAATTTGAACACTTAAACCAAATGTCTTGAGCAGTCTATTCATCCCACTAATTGTACCATTTAAAAGCAGATTGTTCATGTAAAATAGGTAATGTGCTTATTTCAATCAACTTAGTGGCGACCTCAGCCAAATTTAGCAAGATTATAAGCACCCAAGAGTGTGTCAATAAAGTGAGTGGAAAATTCTAATCGAGACACGAAAAAAAAAGGGGGGAGAGGGGATGGGGGGTGGGGTTTCTTCCTAATGGTTCTCACCTTGGCAACGACGACTGTTGAAGGTATCTGCGTCAATTATTTGAGATGCGTGTAAATTGAGTAGAAAAATTGAGGTGCTAATGTCTTCAGTCAATTGTGTGTACAAGACAGGGAAAACATATGTATCAACACTTAACCTTAAGTTTCCCCTGTTGGCCTTGTCATTTTCACAGAGAAATCCATCCTCCGCAACTCTAATCAATATGTAAAACGCTCTTTCTCTAGATTCCACAATACTAATAGTTCTAATTCATGTGCAATTTCCTTGAGAAACCAACACAACATAAAACTTGTGGTCAAGTTCAATTGAATTTACTTTTATGGTGGGTTGAAAGAAAAAAGTTGGTCATAACTTGAAGTAACTTTTCTTAGACGATGTCCAAATTTGCTTGACAAGAATGGTATTTGATATCTAAAGACAGACAAAAGCTCTTGTACATCTTCGTTCACACTTGACAACAGACAAGGAGAAAACTACATTTGAACTATTCAATTTCCTTTAACCTAGACAACATCATCACTTGGTTGCTTGTAGGGCTTGGTTGGCAAAAAACCTAACATCAACATCTGGGTCCTCACTGAGTTCAACCAAACACGGTCGAATTGTGCTCTCCACAACCTGTGCATAAAGACTCGGGGTTAATATTGACAGACTCATAAATTAGAGATCCAAACTCTTTCCTCTTTTTCTTTTTCATTTTTCAAATCTTACCTCCACCCCCTAAAAAATACAAATTTCCAGTGAATACAAATTAATTGACTATTAAACACACACTACCAAGATTTTCATACCAGATTAGAATTTCACATAAAAAGAAAATGGTGAAATATTTGACTGGCAAGTCATCACTCAGATTTTTGTTCTTTCCACATTTCCAGCAATAAAAACACATCTCACAGAATTCATGAGATGATAAAGAAATGTCTCCATCAAGTATTTCAAGCCGAACATTCACTTCTAACTTCCATGAACATATTAGTAATTACATTATTACTAAGGCCCAGTAGACACACTATGAATACAAATCTTTATTTTCCATTCTGCTCTGTTCGGCCGAGTTCATTTCGTTCATTTATTGTTATACCTGGATGCTGATGTAACTCGTGCCAAGCAGAGTGTGACCAAATGCATTTCGTTAATACAAACAATCATCATAATTTGCCTATTTTATACTTACCTTCAACCTAGCACAACTCTCCTACTTTGTTGGACTTGGGCCTAGTTATACGGAGTTCAAATAGGCTAACTAGTGTAGGTGGAGTTGCTCATTAGACAGTCTAGTTTACAAAAATAAAAGCAAATGCATGACAAACACAAATATACACATGTCAGCCTTTAAACCAATGAGAAGTAAATTGGCACTTACAGATTGTTCAACTATTGGAATAACAGACTGCAACACCTTAGCCACATTGAACTTGATATTCGGTACCCTGGAACATAAAATTTAGACCTGTAAGTGTAACAATTACCCAACAAAATGGTAAATCCTAAATATACTGAAGATTAACCTGTCTTTTGATGCAGTAATTATAACCGGCAGGAGTTTGGAGCAAGCAATTTCTGAGCCCAAGACAGGGGCAAGAAGAGAAATTGCATGAAGGATGGTCATCCGGTAAAGATAATGTGGGTCATTAATCATATCCAGCACCTGAAAAATGAATCAGTCAAGTTATTTGAAGAGGAAAACCTAAGACGTCCCACCCCCAACCAAAAGAAATGTGAAAGATTCTAATAGTTAAAACTGAATTCAGATAATGTCCAATAAAAGATATTGATTCCGGAACATCATACAGCAATGTACTAATTCTGGAAAAGAAATTCCACATATCATGACTCTTTAAAGAACAGGCAAAGAAATGATCTCTTCATAATCAGTGATAAACAATGTATGATTCAATAACAATAGAAATAAATACTTTTGGCTTGAAGAAGAAACTGCTAAATTATCGCAGTACCAACTATCAACCAGCTTATTGAAGGCAATAGGAAAACCTGTGGAATTATATGCTCCATTGCCCATTTTGGACCAAATTCCTCAGCAAGGCGCTTTACATTGTTTGCTGCTGCATCTCTAATAGAGTAAACCTGCAAATCCAAGAATGATCATAAGGAAGACATAAAAGAGAAATACAAGAACATTACAAAGAGTTGCACAGTGTGATGCAATTTGTATCATTTCATTTTGAGTATCTCCTGAAAGAAGTAAGGAAGGATGCACAAGTAATATTCAAGATACTAAGTGGCCAATACAAGAAGTAGCATCAGATATGATCTCAAAAGGTTGTATTGAATATTACTTGGTTACAATCACTTTATCCAGGCATTTGAATACAATCACTTTCTCCAGACATAAACTAGAATATTCGGAGTTCTTTCTTTCTAAATTATCAGCAGAATAACAAGTAACAGAAAGCTTTGAACAAACCTTATCTTTTAGCCATTGCATGCACAGAGCACCAAGCTTGTCATCAAAAAAGCCAACACCCAGCTGACTTGCCAATAGAGGTATGTACTCAATTATTGCAAGCCGAACCCTCCAGTGTCTATCTTCTGCAAGTTCAACAATTGCTGGCAGCAGTGATTGGGAGAGCAAATCAATTCCAATTACCTGCAATAAGATTTAGTTTGAAATAGGGGGACATGAAAAACATGATACAGCCTACAGGTATGTAGATTCAGAAGCCACCAAGCCTCAAATAAGGCGAAGTAACTTCAAGTACAGACTACAGAGTTATATTAATGAATTATAGCTAACCTGGTTTACTTGATCAAGCTTACTGATAATATTCAAACGAACATCAGGAAACTCATCCTTCAGAAGAGAGAGGAAAATCGGGAGAAGCTGCTCAATAGTTGCATCCTATAATAACCAGTACAGAAACATTAAACTCCTGTTAGAGACATCATTGAGTAAACATTGGACAAAGCCACAAAGAAAGTCGAGCCTATTCCAGGAAAAGGTATTATTTTAAGTTCAAAACTATAGTGAGAACGATAAATGACAATCACCAAAGTCAAAAAAAACATAAACACCATACTGGCTGTAAGACGGAAGAAAAATTTCTTCAGGATAAGCTGCTAATCATGTGCTTACAGTAATCGACAACATACTGCTAAAATACAATCCCAACTTTGGACTCCAGAAAAGGTAAGAGAAGTTAAAGAAGCACAAGGGAATGAGCATGTTATACTAGGACAACAATAAGAAGCAACGTGGACAGAACCTGAACTTTACTTTACCAATATAACCATAATGGGAGAGCAAACTCAATAATTTGGTGCACTGACGAGGGAATTTATACCTTTCCTAAAATAGGTGCCATTCCCATGATAACTGAAGCCAAAGCAGAACGAACATGCTGGGATGAATCTGATGATAGTTCCTATGAAAAAAGTGTGGTTAAGTTAAACTTACAAACTCATTAAGGATCATTCAAGGGTTGATATTTAGATGTACTAAGAAAAGGAATCACACAAGGAGACATTATACGTAGAAACCATTATATAGGAATATGGGACAGTAACATAGAAAAGGAACTTTATAAGTTTCTACCTTTACACAAGGAAGGATATGCTGGATAGCAAGTTCAGGGCTCAAAATACGGCAAAACTTAGTCACCTTGCCAGCAGCAGCTATACGCACTTCAGCCTCATTATCACGAAGTAGCCGAACATAGGCAGGGACCAAATCCGTCCTGATGAATTTTATGAGGGTCATGAATTAGTCATAAGGGAGAGAAATCGCTAGGAAAAAAAATAGAAAAAGAAAAAGAAATCATTGTGGTGAGCCAAAATTTGTGAGAAATTCATATCCACATCATATTCAGTTCTGAGCATTAAAAAACAAACAAACAGAAAATTCAGGAACAAAAAATACATACATCACTTGACTGGCAAGGTTGAGTTATCAAAAGTGTAAACCGTAACACAGATTAAAGAACATGAGAAATGCACAGTATCACAAATATCTACCTGGTAGCCTCTGGTCCAACTGCCTCACAAAGATCATAGAGTTGATTTGCAACCATGTAACGAACACGCCAAGACTTATCCTGTTCAAATCAATGAACAGGTATTAACATCAGTAACTACATTCCATATGACACTATAACTGAGAAAGCAGCACTGTTTGGTTGTATGAAAATATTGCATTAGTTGTTGATACAAATAAGCAAAAGAACCAAATTCCAGAAAGGTAAAAAGGAAATATCAGCATAAGGGTTATATCATCAATGTCATTTTGCATCCTTTTGAACTACCTTCTATGACAGAGCAAAAGTTAGTTGTGCACAACTCATAATGAATAAAAAAGGATTCATTAGGATTTTTTCAGCCTATGCATCAATATGCATATACTTTCAGCTCATGCTAACAATTTAAGCTTCTTATCAGCTATAGTTGGGGAAATATGAAACAGCAAAAAACTCCCAGGCAATCGCCCAATACCTCGTCAAGCTTAAAGTGTCGGGACTGAGCAAAGTTACAGTCACACGTGACAAACGAAATACAGCAAAAATATTACCAATCTATAAGATTTCCAGAAAGACCACATGGCAGAAATCTTCATCACTGAATTTGCATGCAATAAAAATATTAATGTGAAGCTGGTGGCTAACCTGCGCAAAATTAACTATGACGGAAAGAATTTGTGCTACACAGTCTTTAGGCTCCAGCAGCTTCCCCAAAGCAGCACAATCCTCGACAGCCAATAAACGGACAGAATCTTGATCTGAATATAACCAATTCCTCCTTAGTCAGACTGATATAAATTAAGTAAACCAAATAGAGCTCAACAAAAACACCAAATATTAGCCACTAACAGAAAATTGGTACAACGCACATATCAGGCTAGTTCTTGACAAATAGAAATTGATCAGGCTATGGAACTTTTTCTATGAACAGGGGGGGCTAGACAAGATTTCATAATGGATAGCTCAACCTTTATCAAGTTTTAGTGTATACTAAAGTATATCCCACATCCATGAACTGTGATATCTTAAGACAAAATAAAACAGTCCAAGTAATATAGACTATGATAATTGTTCCTCTATCTCAGATGAGTGTATGTACTCAAATCTAAGGAACAATAAAGAACCCTTGAAGATGTACCTAGAAAATGCACACAAACAAAAACCTCACGCAGAATTTTTTGAGAGAAGTACGGTATATTTTAGTGAGACAAAAGAGCACCAGATGCGTGCTGTATTTCAAATGACTTGCACCTTTTTGCATGTTCATTTAACTGTTGAATAAAGACGGGTATATCAACACAAATTTTTACCATGCTTTCCAATACTTCTCTCATACCTAGGCACTATTATGAGCTGTGCTACTAGAGTCAACAGAAAATGATGAACTAAAATAATTCTGAACTGTTATTTACTCAGACAGCATATTGAACAGCCCAAGTCCTAGAACCAATCCTAACATCAAAGCAGAGCCTACATGGAAATGCTCATTCCAAAATAATTCTCAAAAACTATACCAATTATTCCCAGACACTATGTTAACATAAAGACTAAAGAGAACCATAAAGAGCCAACAGAATTAACAGGAGTTCAAGGAATCCAGGATCAAGAAAGAATTTTGCTCCAAAAAGAGACCACTTCCAGAAAGGCAAAAGCAAATTGTGTCATTCCAAAGAAAGGATAAAATACAAAGAGTACATAATGAAAATACCATACCATCCTGTGTCAGGGTCTCAAACATTGACATGATGTCGGTCTTCAGATGGGGTTGTTCAATAGTTGCAGCAAACTTTCCAAGATTTGTGGCAGCTGCTCTCCTCACCATAGGCATATCATCTTGACAAAGTTGGCTATATATGGTTCTCAGTTCATTCTTTAGTGGCTCTGGAGCACTAGGATAAGCAATGTGAAACAATCCACAGGAGGAAACTCGAGCAGTGAACCACTCTCCAGTAGCCAGTCTCTGGTTACAAGAAACCACGGAAATCAAATTTGAAGGATCATATCTATGGTACGAGCATTGATCTATTAACTAGCACACTGAAATCACCAACCAATGAAGGAACTAGCAAATTAAACACAAGCAGCAATACTCTAGCTAGGGCTTGTTTATATTTCAGGTGTCCCAAGATCCTAATTTATCACGTCACCATCTATATTTAGGCGATAACTTCAATAAATACATAAGCACTCTTGTTTCATGTGACCTTTCTTTTTTCATATAAGCCAAGATAAGGGAACTTTTTGCTGGTGGTGTATTATCTATTCCCAGAATTAACATTTACATAAAGTAAATTACATCGTAAGTTTGAATCACACACAATATCCTCCTCATAACCTAAGTTGCTCGGACTCTTCACTTTGTGTCCGCACCCGTGTCGACACGATGTGGGTGTGGGATCCATACCCGATCTGGCAGCTAGTTTTGGGTACTCTAATCGAATTTGAGGGGGAAATTCTGGATAGATTCGATGATTTCTATAATCAAAATAAATACGAAGGTGAAATAGAAGAAAATGAATATCTTGTATGTATAAATTTCTATTACCACTGCCTTTCCTTTTATCTCCTTTCGGGGTTCTCCTCTTATTCAATATTTCACCTCAAGTTCTCCATATAATATCTCATAATTTAGATTTTATAACTCTATTTTTAGAATTGGAATTATTTTAGGCCGATCTCCGCACCCGTATCTATACATGGATCCATATCCCCGAATCTTAAAATTTAGATCATATAGGATTCAACCTCTGGATCCATCCCCGTATCGGACACCCGTACCCGAGACCAAGCAACTTAGCTCACAATCAATTAAAACTTTCTTAAGGGTCAGTGCATACCAAATACAGCAACCAATTTATATATTTCCCCAAATTCTGAACCTCATTAGTAAAGGATACCCAGAAGGGAACATCTTTAAAAAGATCAAGAGATTATTTACAAGATATCTCCTGCTGACCCATGTAATGAACCATGAACCTTCATGTTTTTCTACCATCTTTTCAATAGTCACCATGAGACAAAGCACAAAATACGAAGAACAACATTAGCTTAGCATTTATCTAGGCTAAGATATGATTTCTTTATTACACAAATTGAAATCAGCAGCTACCATATTGAAGTTGCAGAAGCCTTATTCTAAGGTCTCAAAAACACACATACCAACCAAAAATGAGAAAAAGGAATAACCCAATTATAGAGCAGGCTGACTATACAGTTATACTAGAATATAGGAGTTACCAATCTTACAGAGTTTCTAGAGCTATATAACAAACATAGAAATAGAGTCAAGCAGCATTCAAAGATATTAGGACAATATACAGACCTTCACAAGTGGAATAAATGATTCCACCAAATCCGATTCCTTCATTTGGGACCCAATTTTGCATAATGACTCAACTGCCTTTTCCCTAACACAAGTCTCCTCAACACTACAAAGTCCTTCTAAGGGTGGAAGCAATACACGCGCATGTTCAACCCCTCCAACATATGGAATAAACATGCCCAACTCTTCAGCCATTGCAAGAAGAACTTCGTCATCATCATCGTTGTTCTCACTTAGAAATGGAATCAACTCTTTCCGTGTTCTCTCCTCACCAAGAGCACGGGCGATGGTAGACAATCGCCGGATTGAATTCAATCTAAGCTGGATGTCTTCATTCTTCAACTCATCAATCAAAACCGCAATAGGATATAACGGCTCATCAATAGCGGACATGGTTTCTCGCAATGCTCAAATATCTGTCCATATATGTTCATGAAAACTTGAATTATTTAACTGTACAAGAACAGCAAATATTTTGAAAAATCAATAGCTCGAATTCTTCTTTATATATATATATATATATATATATATATATATTATCAATAGAAGGCTTAGTAAATGGGCCGGAAAAGTTTTTATTCACATCAGTAAGCAATAAATTGCAAAAGAAAGAGAAAATAAAATAAAATTTAACTGATGCCTGCATTATTTAACATTAAACAATATTGCCATCAGTATAACAAATCTTACTCACTTATAAATTGAAGATATGAAAGATTTGCATGAATAATGAAGTGATCTGATCAAAACAACTAACCATACAAGAAATTAACTACTCAAACCGACAACAAAAAGAATCGGTCAAATTACTGATCTTTCACATTTCCACTTTACATTTGTGATCGGAAGCATAAAAGTAACTTGTAATTAATGCGCATATTTATGAAGCAGTTTTTTCAGATAAAATGAAAACTGACTTCGATAGCGTACAGAAAAATTCCACATACTTTAAGCGACCATGCGTCTAGTTTATAGGTTGAGTGAAAGCTTGAACCTTAAGATACAGAAAATAATAGGAATAGAAGGTTCTAGAAAACCGAGATATCAAAGCCGAGGCATCTAGACTGTATCGTCTGTGTGTGTGACAGAGAGATTCGTACCTGAGAAGCAATGGATGGAATGAGAGCAGCAGAAATTTATCGGAAGACTGATCTATTGCCGGAGAAGATGAGAAGGATCTGCTATTTCCGGTGCTTTTGGCTTCTTCTTCTTTCCTTTTTTTCCTTTTATTGGCATTTTTGGGATTTTAAATTATTTATATTTTCTTTCCCTTTCTTTTTATTTATTTATTTAGAGTAATTAATTATTTAATGACTTCCTATTACCGAAGACCTCTTTTACTAAATCACTAATGACCCAAATAAAGAAAAAGAAAAACTTACATTAATGGAGTATAGATTTTCATCTCATTAAATTATTAGTTAAATCAAATTTATTATAAGAGAAAAGACTCAAATATATTATCGAACTTTTAGAAAAAACACATTTATTCATCCGTTAAAAGTTTGGTTCATCTATATCATTATCGTTTAAAAAAAGATTTATTCATGCCATTATTCTTTAACAATGATTTTGCAAAACCATTTTTTACACGTGGCAAGTTAGGATTAGGTCATATGGACTATGATTTAATATTTACCAACGGAATGAACCAAATCATATATATTTCAAGTCTTTCCAATTAACATATAGTACATTTTATTAGTATGTATTAATTTGTTTCTTATTTTATCTTATATGAGGAAAAAATAAAAATTATTGTATGAGTTATGTCATTCATTCCTTAAGTATACCAAATTCGATGTTTTGCAAAATGAATTTGGAAATAACACGGTGTAAGTGGTAAGTTATTTTTAAATTTCTTAAATTAAACAATTAAAATTAAATATATATTTTTAGTATATTAAACTATAAATAAAAATGGTTGTGAGTATTTTTTTAAAGAAACAACATTCTTGAAGTAAGTTGATTTAATACAATTATATTTGTGAGGGGAGGCACAAAACAACACAAGTAGGATACAACACCTACAAGGATCGACTTCAAGACAATCAACCAAATATACTTCACCAATTTACCAAAAGAAATTCACCACTATATTAATCAAGCTCAAATCAGCAACACATCAATTGAATCACAAGCAAATATGAATTATAATACGCAAGTGACACACATGGAAAACCCCTTCGGTATGCGGGACTTGAAGGAGTCCACCCTTCTTCTTCTCTTATTATGCAAATTGAGGGTAAAAACACCCAAATCAGTCTTCAAGGATGTCACAGTCCACTAACAATAACATACATAAGAGACAACACAAAAGAGAAGAGAAATTGAGAAATATCACCAAAAAAACGCAGGTTACGCCAGCTGCGATAACAGACGATCAAGAACTCCGATTGACGATCTGAACGTCAAGATGTAGTGCTATGTGTTGTGAACCAGCTGTGAAAATTTCAGAACGATCCAACGGTCGGATCTCTTGCAATCTGAAATTTTGTCTCGCTGTCCAGAAAAACCAGCAACCCTTTTCTCTCTCAAATCCTCTCTCTATTTCTTTTTTTTTTTCTCTTCCAAAACAAAAAACCCCAGCACCAACATCAGCTGCCCAAGACTTCTAGAAGAAGTCAACAAAGCCCAAAATATATGGGTCACCCATCAATGGGCTGGACCCTTAACAATATTTAGTTACCGGACGTTGCATCAAACTTACAAGCCACTGAATTATTTTTCACCTGGTCAACTTCGTTAAGTATCACAAAGGTCACCAAACATTTTTATTTTTGTGGGCAAGAAGCTTTCAGCTTTGCCTAGTAAAATGTATATTTGGTTTTCTCATGACGACTTTTTCTGATATATTAGGTGAAGTGGAGTGATTTATTGACACAGTGGACTATCATTATATTTCCTTTTATCTTGAGTGATTTTCTTCTATTGATAATCAAAGTGTAAATGCATATCGAGTTGGTGAAACACATGCAAAGGACTATCATATATGATGCAGGTTGGCATTTCTACATGTTCAGGTATGTAATCTCAAGTTCTACCTAGCTGAAGGAAGACTGCATCTACACATTGATGCATGTATTCTGCTGTACTAACATCACAAAAATGCTACAAAGCTAGTAATCTTCTGTTTTCAGACATACTATAATCTCGAAAAGTACCAGAAATAAAAAGCACACCAAAGAATTGAACATAGTGTTAAACATGATATCCTGCAAATGCAATAGTCTATCCCTTTCCTCCATCAATATCCTACAGACGAAGAACCGAAGAAGGGCTCTGGGGAAGCAATCACCTCAAATCATCTATCATTGTTAGCTCAAAAGCAACAATTATAATAGAATACAAACATTTGTGAAATATATGATAGTTCATATCTTTTCAGCATGACAAACACCTGGAATTAAAGTGTTCGGGGTCTTCTCTTGTACAATTTGGTATTTTCTGCAGTAATATACACTCATCCATGCGACAAGAGTCTTAAAACTAACACAATATTGTATAACATGGAACAAGAATTGCAAGAGAATCACTCTGTGAACATTCTTGTGACTTGTAGTTGAAAATAAAGGATCAACTTCCATACTTTTATCAGTATATTTTGCACTACAATTCCACATGGATACAAAGTATAAAAATGTCTACATTTCAGCTTGCTTCGAATCTAAGTTGGGCACTCTTAGCTGGACTTCTGTTTTACCCGTAATTATGACAATATGAAGACAGAATTCTTCATTAGAAGTGCACTTAGCAAACTTATCTATTCCAAACTAGGTGCTTCTTCAGTTGGATTTGACTCAAACACATCTGAGTTAGAAGCCTCTGGTTCTTCAAGAAGTTCTTGTGATTCCATTGCTTCCTTATACACAGGAGTAGCCTTGAAATCTGTAGCTCCATCGTTATATGTGGCCACAGCAATACCACATGCAATCAGCTGCCAATAAAGATGCCAAAATCAAACGGGTAAGAACCCTATAAAGGATATTAAAAACACCACCTTAAGAGAAAAAGAAGATGCAAAAATAGAAAACAAATACTAAGTTTTCTTCTGCGAAAGGTATCTCAAGTTGTTCCAATTTCCCATTTCCATGGTTATAATACCAAACATAAGTACATAACCATTATGGAAAACAGGCATAGGCTTCCTCTAGATGAGATTACACCAAAACCCATCCTAATTTCTAAATAAAATTAATTGACATGGCTCACCATTTTGGTTGTCTTCTTGTGTCAGACAGAAACAACTGTTGCTGGTAATCCAAACTAATCTTAAGAAGCACCAAGAAGAAACAAGAAACTTATTTATAACTTTCATGACCAACTGCAAGTCGTTATGGGTAGTGCACCAGTCATTAAATAACCCGATAAAGTCGGATAAACTAACCCCACAATCAAGAATCAACCAATGGTAGCTTCACCAGGACAATGTAATTTTTCAGCTTTTCATTATTCCCTTTCATCTCATAATATTGTCCATCTCGAAAAATCTAACAAAAATATCATTTTTTGCATATATGACAATAGAAAAGAAGACCATTTAGTTTTAATCCTAACCTTCCATAAAAGTTAATGTTAGTCCAGTGCACAGAGCATCCCGCATTAGCATGGTCTGGGGACTGGTATCTTATGCACTGTGGTAGTGAGTGTGAACAAGATTGTGGAACATCTGAATATCTAAATGTGGGAAAAGAAATTTTGAACATGAAAAAGTTGTTTTTTGTAGTCATTTGATCGGTTATAACCTATTGACATAAACTCAGCTATAATAGTTTCTATAATTTTTGGTATGTAATGAAGAATACAAACCAAACACATATTTCACACAAGGCGGAGCTAGAGTATTAGTTATGTGTTCGCAGGAACAGCTTTTTCTGTTCAGAATGCATAAACGGCTCACATATTCAACACAAATAAATCAATACTAATGAATGTTAAATAGCTAACATTAACAAAGATTATACTAAAACAAATTAGCAGGGTTGAGGATGCACCGAAAAGAGAACGCCAAAAGCCCACATATACTGAACAAAGAATCCAAATCCATCCCATTGAGGTCCTTCCCAGAAATCAGTTTCCTCTCCAGGAAGCTTCGGCATCACAAAAGCATCACCAGTTGTTGTGGTTGCAGAAACCCTATCTTGACTATCAATACGAATATTGATCGTCTGGAATTCTTCTTCTTCTTCTTTTACTGGCTCTTTAGTTGAAATTGAACTTCTCTTGTTCTTCCCTGACGTGAACTTCTTTGCAGCGAATGCAGTGAATTGACTTCTTCTCCCCTGAGAGGGAAGTAAGAAGGGACGACGAAGAGGGAATTGGGTAAACGGTATTTTTGTTGATGAGCTGTTGCAGAGAATTCGATTTCCTGTGAGAGCCATTGTTGTGGCTGATAAGAAGTGTGTGGACGAGACTATCATGATAAACTACTTTCGGGTCCGAAATGCGATCCGGTTCATTGGTCGTTAAGATCCGACTCACATAGGATATTTCGGTTGATTTTTTTATTAAAACAAAGTTAGTTTCAGATCACTCAAAGATTGTGCTTACCCTTGGTATTTATAATAAGAAAACTACCTTATTTTATTACTTATTACACATGCGCACACACGTACACGTACAGTACATGCATATAAATTCGTTTGGATACAATTTATTCAAGCTTTCTAAGCTCAGGCATTCTCGGGTAAGGCGTTCTCAGGTTAGGGGTTTTCAGGACAGCGTCTCGCAGGTCAGGGGTTCTCAGGACAGCGTCTCGGGTCAGGCATTCTCAGGTCAAGCATTCTGGGGTCAGGCATTCTCCAATTAAGCATTCTTGGTCATGCATTCTCAGGTCAGACGTTCTTGGGTCAGGTATTCCCCGGTCAGGGGTTCTCGAGTCAGGGATTCCCTAGTAATGCATTCTCGGGTCAGACGTTCTCGGGTCAAGGATTCCCTGGTCAAGCATTCTCGGGTCAGGCATTTCGGGTTGGGCATTCTCGGGTCAGGCGTTCTCGGGTTAGTCGTTCTGCAGTCTTGGCGTTCTCGGGTCATACAGTTTCGGTCATTCTTAGGTTAAACATTCTGAGGTTAGGTGCTCTTTCTTAGGTCAAGAGATAGTAAAATCATTTAAAATATAAAAAAGCTGGTTAGTCTTTAAGCAAAATCAATTAAGTTAATTAACATTAGAGTCAAAATAAATTGGAATAATTACCTGAATATACAACTTAAGTTTACATATTCTCCATA